AAAAAAAGGGACATAGCACATTATGTTCATGCTCTGAAAGTAACTTTGTTACAACAGCAGTCTCAAAACTACTCACAATAGTATATTTCTTAAGAAAACAACTTCCATTTTAAAAAAAAAAATCAAACGAGCTATCTTGACAAGCGATTGTAAGATGCATTTGTCATAAAGCTGTTTTTTTTTTTAAAAACCAAAAGGAAAAGGAAATTATTTGGCTGAAGACAGTTTTATTGAGATTACCATGCTTGTTTTTCCAATTTCAACACTGGCATCAGTTGCAGTAATTGAATGCACCATGGTTGTCATAGCAGTAGGTCAGGCATTACTGCAAACTAACAGAATATAGACCTTTAAATAATCAGGTTTAAGACAGCTAACCTCATTTTCATGGTAATTAAAAACAATTTTTTTAAACTACTTCACAATATCACTTTTAGATATTGGTCCTTATTCCGATTGCCCACAACACAAAGAAATAGCTCCGTCATTTGAAAATGGTTGAAAACCAAACATCAAAACTAATCTTATTTGGATTTTAGGTGTCAATTTTAATAGATAAGTGGTAGATAATAAGTAATTTCATGGATAATGACAACCACATTCACTACATCAATAAACTGATATTTTAAGGCTGATATTTTAATCTGCAGCATGTTTTAGTTGCTCAGTCACTCAATGATAAACATCTGAGCCTAGAAAAAGATGCAGGTGTTACCTGTTCAAGAGCAAGAAGAAATTTTAGACATTGAGCAGATGTGTGGTGACTGAAAGCAAAGAACTAGTCAGCAAAATTGCGGTGGCTGATAGGTTGTCATTAAAATATAGATAGGTCCTAATATTGAAACTTCCAATTTGTGGGGTTGTTTATTTGTGCATCTAACTATGATCAGATTCTTGTCATCTTGTCTTTGAATTTACCGATTTAAAATTCAATTTGGTCAAAATGTTTTGCAATGTGGTATTGGGATATTTCAGAGAGTAGAGCATAGGAATCAACAGATAAGGTCTACCTAGCTCACCACCTACCATTGGTTGAATAACATCATTGTCCCAAAATGTGGCACAAAACATTCAGCTCAGCTATTCCTACTCTCCTTCCCTTTCCGTTAACTTCCCTTCAGTCCTGAAAACTGTGCGCTGATCAATTTACTTTTTGAAGGACATGATTGAATCTGCTTCCACCACCAAGGCCATGCATTCCAGAACCTACCCATTCACCGCAAGGAAGTTCCTTCCTTATATCACCATAAAGGTTTTTCGCTATTCACCCTACATTGGTGTGCTCTGGTTCTCAAGCATTTTGCCCTATTACGTTCATGGTTTTGAACACTGCCATCAATTTTTTCTTCTCTAAGGTGAGCAGGCCCAGCTTCTCCAATGTATCCAAGCAACTGAAGTCTCTCAAGCTTTCACCAATTTGCTGAGAGGTGCAAAAAAGGCTCAACACCTTCACATCATTCCTCAAGTGCGCTGCCTAGAATTGAACACATTGATTCTGGTTGGGCCCAACCAGATGATATAAAATGGATCAAAATTGCTTGGCTCACCATTTCTCCAGAAAGCCCTAGATCTTATGTCTTTTTACCCATTTTATCAGTGAGTTCTACCTTATGCACATGCTCCCCCAGGTGTTTGCTCATTTAGAAATTGTACTTTTTATTCTGAGGGCTCTTGTGGCACAGTGGCAGTATCCCTACTCTGAGCCAGGAGATCCGTGTTCAAGTCCAACATGATCCAGATGTCTGATCAGATTTAAATATCTTTTTTTCTATATTGCCTTCTCATTCTTACTCCCAAAATGCACTACTTCACATGTCTCTGCATTAAATTGCATCCGTCACATATCTATCCATTCCAACCCAAGTTCTCTTTAAATCTATCATCCTCACAGTTCACAATGTTACCAAGTCACATATAGAATGATAGGAGGGCTGCTGACTAATCACAATAATCAAACTAAATTGCTGTGATTCCATTCATGACAAGAACCAGTGCAATCATGCAAAGCTTTGGGAAGCATGGATACAGTCACAAAGCACTCTCAAGCATGAGAAGCCTTAAAATTAATCATTTGCCATTAATTATATTTCAAGCTTATTTTCTGAAATAAATCTAATTTGCATTTTAATGAATTAATATTAACTGACTCCACTATTATGAATGCTGGACTTAAGACAGTTATATTTTAAACTCTGAACTTCATTTCCATGTGAAATGGAGAAGATAGGATGTGACCTGTAAGAAATCTGCTTAGAAATAAGTCCACCATACTTGGATGCCATGGGAAAAAAGGCCCAAAACAAACCGGTTCATAGCAAAGTGCAAGCATTAAACACCTCAATACAAAAAGAACAGGCAAGCTATTCTCAGACAGAGATAGCTAGTTTGACTATTTTAGGAAAGACAGCTGAAATTAGGTACTACTATAACAGGCAAAAGAAAAGAATTGCTTTTGATTTAAATTACCAAGCGGAATGAAGCTGGATTCTAAGTTTGGAGAAACCAAGCTTATGGAGAGCTAAAGACGAAGGAGTTGCCAGACAGTGCGTTGCTACTGGAGGTCCACTTGATTTTTTTTTTTTTTTAAATAAAGTTAAGCAAAAAGACATACGAAGAGTCACTCTTGTGAAGAGAGGAAGAGAGATCCAATTGAAACTGAGAGAAGCTTGGGATTTTTATATACAAGATTATGTTTCTGCTGACTGTGCAGTGATGTGTAAAACATGGCACAGGGTTTTCAGTTATGTTTAGAAGGAAAATCTTCTCTGGAGCTTATTGTCTTAGCATTTCTTAGGGAACTAATACAATGTTGATTTTAGTTGCCACACTTAAAGTCTTGTACAATTCTTTGTTTTATTACTGAAAAGTTTGTCATTTCACTTTTTAAAACTTATCAGTCTCTATGGAGATATAATACCATTACTTTCTTAGGGCGCTTGCTCCATAGGTCTCAACCTTTGAATTACTGGGATATTTACCCATTGCGCATTCAAGTACTTACCTTTGCACCTGTGCTGTGCAATCCAAAATTTAACCAAAAAAAACCCAGTAATTCCTAACACCCATTTTTGAAACATTATATATTACAAAAGGCATGCTAATTGAAGACTGCATTATTTTGTGGGATCAGAGGTCTTGCAAACTATAGAAATTGCATTTGTGTAAATGCAAGGTTTCTGTAACTCCAAGCCACAACCTGGGGCAGGAAGGAAAACCCATAATTACTATCTCCAATTCAAAAATCGCTCAAATTTTCCTTGGCAAAACCTAGAACCAGACGAACATCAAAGGTGTTTATATCATGTTCATGCAGCTGTCTTTGGAACATATAAACCAAAAGTATAAGCAGGAAAATCTAAATGCAGTTAAGTATTTCAAAAAACACTGAGTAAATAATATTGTAACTGTATGCCATTTTATAAACTGAAATGCAAAGCAGTTTTAGATTGCTTTTCTAAAGTTTATCCTCTCAGGACAAATTTGAAGTACACACAAGATTCCGAAAAATGCAGAAGTCCGAAATGACCTCGAGACCCACCAAGTATACTTATTTTATTTTAGCAACAGATTAGCGCAGTCAAATAAAAACAAAATACTGTGGATGCTGGAAATCTAAATCTAACAAAATGCTAGCAAAACTCAGCCGGTCTGGCAGCATCCGTGGAGAGAAACAGATTTGACATTGTGAGTCCAGTATGACTCTTCTTCAGAACTTTTGAAGTGGATTAATTTAGTCATTGGTAGCACAGATCTGAAGTATTGTGGAATAAAAAGCAGTTTGTCAAAGCTTTTCATCTTGCACTCATCAGAACAGTTTGCAAGAATACCACTGAAAGAGGAAAACAACGTCCCGAATGAAGGGGAAAATGTTGATTGGTTGGTAAGCAGAGTCCGATTGTAGAGATGTTACGCAGTAGATGACTGACAATTAATTACTAAGCTTTATTTGTATTTTAAAGCAGGTAGTTAACACTGAACGGTCAAGGCATTGCCTGAAAAATGAACCATTGTACGGCTGATGATCCTAAATTGATCGCCAGTGTAACTGCGCATACACTCACGATTATCTGGCAAATTATACAATCACATTATACCACGTTATACAATCACAAAAAACCACATCTAAAGTCAGACGTTGTGTGTTGTGGATTTTGCAAATGTGGGCTATGTTGGACATAGTCAGTACATTGCTTGTTGCAAGCAGTCAAAGGGTTATGTTTTTCAATCCAATCATAGGATATGGGTCTTTATCCGGGCAACACAAATTCATAAACTACATGATTAATTTGTGAAGAGCACAGATGCCTTTTGGCTTGATAGCAGCATCCTGTTGATGGCGAATGCCAATTGATTTGCTACTACAGGGTGATAGCATGAAAGAGCTGAGCTCGCTAACTCAGATTACTCTAGAAGAAACAAAAATCTCAAAAATTTGAGCAATAGTTGATCTAAGCCATTTCACAATACTATTGTGCAAGTGAGTAGTTCAACCCCAAAAAGCTGTTGCAGTCATGCCAAAAAGATATGGAGACTACATACTAACAAACAAGATGCTGTGCTTTGCTGATGCAATGAACTTGTATACACACACGTGCCTGTTTCAAGTCAACAACAAAATAAAAATGGTGGAAGCCATTTACTGGTTGATTTCTCAGGGCAATTCCTCAGCCAGTCAGTCAACCTGCCCGATTTAAAATTTAAACAAAGCTTGGCAGTTGAGTTATCATTAACTGGCAGATTTTCCATAGCAACGTCTCTACCAGAGTCCACTTAGCAACCAACCTGCATGCTCACTTCATACAGTAAAAATATTGCCTTCCCTTTACATTGGTATTCTTACAAATTTTCCTGACAAGTGCAAGATGAAAATCTTCAGCAACATTCAAGATTAATTTACCTAAAACTGAACTTCTGACTTGAAGTTGCCAGAATATATTTTCTCAAAAGCTTGTAAAACATTAAACTAAAAATGGTTAAAAACAACAGCATTTTATACTTACTTGTGGTTGTGCTAGTTCCAATAGTGTTAATTGTTGTAGGTACAGATGTAGAAGAATAAAGTGGTAAGTGTCCATTCTCACAAGCCTGGTTCTTATCAGGCCAGTTAGAAGCAGACACACAGATCCCAGAATCACGTAGACTCTGCCAACCATTGAGCTTGTCATCAGAGTTCTGTCTTTGGTGATAATAAAGAGTTTGCCCAAAATCCATTGAATCTGGACGTCCTCTGGTCTGGTTTCCATAGTTAGAGGTGCGGTCCTCTAAATGGTTGAGCCACATGGCTAGTGCATTTCTGTCCTCCAATGAGGTGGCTGGATGGATCAAAGCATAGGATAAGAGTTGTCTGCTTTCCTCTATGTGCTGATTGTTCTCAATTGAATGTGCCAGGATTTTAGGTAAAAGCTTCATGTATTCCATTTTTGCATCAATATTTCCTGGCTTCAACAATGGGAGATGGGTCAGTAAAAGCATCATTACTTTGTCCTTGGATTCTTGATGCCATTGGTTAATGAATGCTGCAAAATGTGAAAGCATGGAAACATTTATTATTTGGATTCTAAAATAATCAAGTTGACGCAAATCTTAAACAAAGTGATGATGATTAGAGGTTAGATGACATGAATTTGCAGTCATATTATTCAATATGCCTCTTATCAAATGTTATAAGGTTCTCCATCCTATCATGTCGCTAAGTATCACAAACAAAGTATGCATAAAGTCTTGTGGACTGATTTGATAATGTTAAAGTTGGATGACAATTAAAAACTGAATTCTAAAGATGACAGTTCTCATCATTTTGCCGAGGCCCCACTTCCTCAAAATTTCCAAAGACCCCAAAGCACAAAACCTTTCTTATATTAAAAATTAGTTTTATAATTAAAGATATATTTATTACTTTTGCTCCAAAGTGAAACTTGTTGCTCATTATTACTAGCAACAATACAAAACAGATCAAGAACCTATTAGAAAATTTCCCACGTCAATTAAAATGTGAATTAAAACCTCTTCAAATAGTAGCTTTGAAGTAATATTTAATGCCATGAAGAAACAACATCAGACGACTGAAGGCCTCATCACTGATACCTTTACTTATCTCCACGGTGGATGGCTGTGTCATGTGTAACAGACTTCATCCATTTTATCTCATGTTGACATACAAGGCCCCTTAACTTTATTGATTCGTTGTTGTCACATGTACCAAGATACAGTGAAAGTGTTGTTTCGCATGCTTTACAGGAGATTGTGCCATACAAACTGCATGAGGGTGGCAGACCACAATGTTACAGTGCGCTCTCTCTCTCGCTCGCGAGCACGCGAGAGATAGAGAGCGTGCGAAAGCGAGCAAGAGAATGATCAGAACTAACATTTGAGAGGTCACTTCACAAGTCTGATAACAGCGGGGAAGAATTAAACACCACTTGACACATTCAAAAGGTTTCAAATTATAGTCATGCAACCCATCTGACAGACAGGGTTTGTGGACATCGCTGGCTGGCTGCAATTTATGGCCTGTCTCTAGTTGCTCTTGAAAAAGGTGGTGATGAGCTGGCTTCTTGAACGTAGTCCATAATCTTAGGGTGACCCACAATGCACCTAGGGAGCAAATTCCAGGATTTTTGGCCCAGCGTCAATGATATATTTCCAAGTCAGGATGGTGAGTGGCTTGGAGGGGAACTTGCAGGTGGTGTTGTCCCCACGTATCTGCTGCCCTTGACTTTCTAGATGGAAGTCGTCATGTGTTTGGTAGATGCTAAGGATCGTTGGTGAATTCGCAGGCAAGTGGGGAGTATTCCACCACATCCCGACTTGTGTCTTGTGGATGAAAGACAAGCTCTGGAGAGTCAGGAAGGGAAGTACTCAATGCAGTATTCCTAGCCTCTGACCTGCTCTTGTGACCACTGCATTTATGTGACGAGTCCAGTTGAGTTTCTGGTCAATGGTAACCACAAGAATATTGACAGTGGGGCATTAAGTGATGGTAGCGCCATTGAATGTCAAGAGGCAGTGATTAAATTGTCTCTTATTGAGAGATGGTTATTGCTTGGCATTTGTGTGGCATTAATATTACTTGCTACAGGCAACTCTTCTCCCTTCTTTATTGCATTTTTTTGTCCTCTGATGACTTTTAAAGGCTTTCCACTAATCTTCACCACATTGTATGTTGTCTCCTTTGCTTTTATGTTCCAATTTATCTTCAGCAATAGCTGCCTCAACCACCCTTTAGTCCATTTCTTCTTCTGAATTTTTGCTGTACCTCCCAAATTACCCCCACAGACCCCTGCCATTGATTCTCCACTGTCTTTCCTGCTAGGTTCCCCTTCTAATCAACTCTGGCCAGCCCCTCCATCATGTCTTTATAGGATTTGCATGGCATGCTCTATATGATGGTCAAAGACCATAATCACCACTGGCGGATAGAATTCTTTTGACTTATCAGACACCCAAGCATTTCACATGGTTGATAGATCTCTCAAATGCATCTTCTCACTGCTTCAAGGACCACCCCCTTCAACTCTCCTGATCACATGAAATAAGGTTGAAGAATGTCTTAACAAGACTGTTCCTGCGAGTGTTTTGATCCCTTTTAATAATTAATAAGAGATAATTTAATCATTGCCTCTTGACATTCAATGGTGCTACCATCACTGAATGCCCCACTATTAATATTCTTGTGGTTACCATTGACCAGAAACTCAACTGGACTCGTCACATAATTGATCATTTTATTGCCTATATCCTGCCTCAAGAAAACAGTTCTGTTTTAATTGCTTTCTTGCAAAAGTAATTGATCATTACTATTTCCCACTCACTTGATACTTGTGTTGTTCAAAACAATAAAACCAAGCTAGTAGAGTCAATATGAAAATTTTAACTTAATCCCATTGTGCCTTATGTATATTTCCACAGCATAATCGTAGTCATGGTATGCAACTGAAAATTCATCAGTTACATCATCATTCTAGGTTGTTCCAGTCATTTTAACGTCCCCAAATTTCTGCCTTTGTCATTGTAGGTGGTAAGCTTGTAGGTCTAGCAGATACTGTCACAGGAACATCGAGTTGCTGTAGTACATCTTAAATGGCACACAATGCTGCTACTATCTGCCAGTGGTAGACAGCCTTCTTAATAAGAAATGAAACTAAATTGATAGCAAGAAGCAATATAGAGTCAGAAGGCATAGAAACTGTGTAGGCAGAGTTGAAAAACTACAAAAGATGAAAGATTGTGATGGGAGTTTTGTACAGGCCTCCTAGCAGTAGTCAGGGTTGGGGCTGAAAATAAAATCGGGATATAGAAAAGGCATGTAACAAAGGCAGTATTACAATAATGTCTTTATAACGAATACCTCATCAGATTTCAAACACAAACAGATGGTATACAAAAGGCTTACTTATCCTTTGTTCTTGGTTTACAACTACTTGAGATGGACAACTTATTATGTCAGAAGTTATGCCTTTTTCTCCTGGGTATCTGATCAGTACTCCGGGTTGGAACAGGGACAAGAAGGAACTAGTTAGATTAAATATTGTGTGAGATTTACCCCTTCAAACTCCTGGTTGAATTAAAGCAGTAGTCTGTAGGGAAGTACCAGCCTTTTTGAGAGTTACCCACAAATGCCTGGGTGAAATATACCAAGAGTTTATGCAGGTTAAAATAACAAAAAAAAGAGATTTAGAGCAAGACTGGGGTCTGAGTGAAAGATTCATAGTTGTGGGTATCCTTCATGATAGTGTATGGGCAAACACAAGTTTAAAATAAGACAGGCAAAAAGTGACACAGTTGTAAAAGGTAAAGCAACTGAACTGGAAGGACTCAGCTTCTGTGTGGTATTTATAAAATTATAAATTTAAGTGTAAACAAATCAGTTTGCATGTTCTGATTTTTCACTGATGACTCCTGCATGATATTATTCGTTTAGTTCAAGTATTGCAATTGCAATTCCACAAAATTAAAAACAAAAGAACTGTGGATGCTGCAAATCAGGAACAAAAACAAAGTTGCTGGAAAAGCTCAGATCTGGCAGCATCTGTGAAGGAAAAAACAGTTAACATTTCAGGTCCAGTGACCCTTCCTCAGAAGGGTCTGAGGAACTGAGGAAGGGTCACCGGATCTGAAAAGTTAACTGATTTTTTTCTTCACAGAAGCTGCCAGACCTGCTGAGCTTATTGCAATTCCACCACCTCGAAGTTTCTCTGCAAGCACACAAAGACAATTGTTCCAGGATACATTTTTTAAACAAAGACACTTAGTTAATAGACTTGTACATTTTATTACTATTATTATGACTTACCACGATGACACAAATTGGGTGATATTTTAAAGTTAGATTTGGGTGATAGTCACTAGATTCTTCAAAACTTTCAGTATTCCACACTGATACACCAAAAAAAAAATCTCAAATTCCATCAAGGAATCAAGGTGATAACAACTTTTTCTTCTTTTGTCTGGGTCAGTGAAGTGTCAGGTTTCTACTGAACACCCCCTCCAAAGTGGCATGATTGAAATTCACAGTTGTATGCAAAATTATAAAATGCAAGTTCATCCACTCTGCCATACAGCAATCCAACAATGAGTTCCAAGCAAAGCAGAATTACGATAAATCAAAAAGGTGATCTTAATGAAAAGCCAATTGATACAGATTATAGCCATAGAAATAAATTAGATATCTTTAATTTCCATAAGTCAGGGACAGTTTGTGCTTCCCAGAACTTCTTTTCTTAAATGGACTCTTTCCATATTTTGAAATGGTTGCCGTTGAACACAATGAGGATGTTGACTGCTTCCAGAAATATCAGGCCAAAAGAAAATACAACACCTCTTGGCATCATGAATATTCCAGATGACCAAGCCTTGTAGGGGAGATGTCTACTTTAACTAGTTCTGAAACTCAATATGGCTCAACTTGGTGTAAATGACTTCATAATTATCTATTATAAAAATTTAATGGTTTTCAACAAGGGAACATCAAGCCACCTTGTCAGCCAACCCAACCCAAAGCAGGGTTGAAAGTTGTTTGTCTGAATTACTTTAGTTACCCAACTTTGGCTTTTCATCAGTTGGCTTGTAATATCCAAGGAGATAGCTAAACACCCTCCTCTGATCTTGATCTCTCAAAAATCTGATTCCAGAAAACAAGCCTGCATGTTGTCTGTGAAGTGAACCAATTCCCAGCTTACAACTAGCGTACCATTCTCAGCAATTCAACTTGCCTGAGCTTCTATGAAAGTGACTTGTGTGTACAACCATCTGAAAAGAACCTCAACTAGATGTTGTTAGATACTAATTCAGAAACCAATTCTGATAGCTTTGATTTCAAGTATTTTGTGACTTCTCTCCTTTCCTTTCTTGGATATTTGTGAATGTGAATTGTGAACCATTCATTCTCCCCTCTCCCACCTCAAGAGTTTAGAAGGTAGTAACAGACCCTACTTTTCTTAATCATAGAATCCCTACAGTGTCAAAGTAGGCCATTCAGCCCATCAAGTCTACACCAACCCTCTGAACAGCATCCCAC